CGTCGTCTAAACCTAAACCCAAACTGCTTACCTCTTGGGAAAAACCCTTGGTTATAGGAATGTCGCAGTTACCTCAAAACGTCCTGACTGCTTGGATTGTCGGCTGTTAACAATGCAACGTAACTTGATAAAATCTGAGATCTGAAGAATTTCGTGTATTTTCTGTCCAGTGAATTCGGGTGTGAGATGCAACTAGCAGGACGATAGGTTAGCTGTTGTCGCACCTCTGGACGCTGAGCTACTTAATGATCAAGCGGACGTGATGTTGGCTTGTCTCTGTTATCACACGGATAGTCCAATCGAACTGAAAGAGAATCCATACACTAAAAGACTATTTTGGCGTGTTGTGAGCAGAGGTTCTAGAAGATATTTAACACTAAGGGTGAGCTTATAATCAGGTTGCAACGGTACTATTAACATATCGACTCTTCCCTGGCTACTGAAGAAGGGGACAGATCAGGTGTGGGAATGTCCCGAGTGCAGTGAAGTAAATTCATTCATTGATTGTTTCATTCATTCATTCGTTCATCTATTCATTCAATGTTTCATTAACTCATTCATAAATGTATTCATTCACTATTTTATTCATTCATTCGCTCGTTCATTAATTAATTAATTCATTGTTTCATTCAATAATTCATTCACTAATTCCTTCAGTATTTCATTTATTAGTTCACTGTTTCGTACACTTATTCATTAACTAATTTCGTTTTTCATTCCCTATTTTATTTATTCATACATGCATTCATTCACTCCCTGTTACACTCAATTATTCATTCATTCACGGTTTCATTCACTTAGTCATTTATTTATTCATTCATTTAACTCAAAATAACCCAAACTATTTTGATACCAAAAAATATCTTGTGACCTTAACAATGGTCGTCACGCCCAAGGAGTATCGCCAACTGGTCTACACAAGTTAGGATTTAGCACCGTATCCCCGAGGTCAAAGGTCCTTTACTTACAAACTGACACGTGGTTGCCAGCAGTCAAAAGCAGTTCTTACCGTGTGGGTTCCGGGGTCATATTGTAGATCCACTGGCCCCTAACAAGCATGTGATAAAAGGGGATCAATTAGGGGTGTCTCCTTCGAAGACGGAGTGCATCTGCCTTTTGATGTCAAATCTTTACCCAGACGAACCCAGATGAAACATAACGGTGTGACTGACTGTCGTTCCACCCTCCACCACGTCTTCACACACAGCGATAAACACTCGATGATGCTAATTGCCACCATTAGAATGAAATCACATGTGGACAGGTCCCAGAAACCCCGTTCAATCCAAATTAAAGGTTAAGGTTTTGAACAACAAATCAACATCATGGCACACGGGTAGTGACTCATAAGTGCTCCGTTATTGTTATAACTCAAGTCTGGGTCCGAAAAAGGTATGTAGCACCGGCGAAGATCCTAAAATACTTTGCGTAGATTTTTAGCTTTAAATTTTGCCCGGGCAGAGCCGTTATGCCACTCTTTACCACTGTCAACTGCCAGGGGATTTTTTACGTACGTAAAAATGCAAACGGGCGTCCGATCTCACTACCCAGGGGGGGGGGGGGGATTACTTGAAGTCTCAGTCCACGCGAAAAAAAATTCCAGCCCTTACCATGGATTGAACCCAGAACCTCTAGCAATCGAGGCGGACACCATGCTTCGAGATCACGCAACTCCCGTTTAATCCATAGGTTGGGTTATTTCAAGGCCCCCGGCAACAGTCAGGATAGGGCTATAAAACAACAACATATCTGCGTCAGGTATTGGACGCTGAAAAGGTAAGGTTAGGTTAGTTGCGTATCCTTTGCAGGACGTTGCAGAACTAACCCCATCAGCCCCTGGCTGTTGTGTGGTTTCTCTAGGCTAATTTACGTCCAGCAATTTGCCATTGCAAACCTGGACGGTCGGCTCCCTGATACCACTGTCGAAACCAACGCAAGGCGCATAGCCCGCAGCTGAGATCGAACCCGGCACCCCGGCATTACGAAGCGTTCGCATCAACTTAGCCACAGAGCCGACGCTGAAAAGGTAAACCACGAAATGAAAGCGTTTACAGTGAGAAGAATTAGATACGAATAAAAACAAAGTCTCATTATTCAATTCTCAACAGGAACTTGGCCTTCAGTTAAAACAGGATCCTGAAATGTAATTGGAGGTTACAATGTGAAGAAACTAGGTGAACGGCAAAACTATTTTCACCTTAAACATACTCCATTGTGTTTGTATCTTCCTGCTCGGTTGAGTTCCCATTGAACCACGCCGACCAATAAAATCTAAACCAGATCGTAGCAAATCAAACCAGCGGCCTTACTTTAACTGTTCTAGGAAAAAGAATCGCTCGAGGCCTAATCCTTTTATATTAGCAAACTTACAATAACAATAACAAACTGCTGGATGGAAAAACAATAATAATATACTTAAAATATTAGAAACTGTATAAAAAATACTTTTAGAAAAAAATCTTTATTCCTGCTTAAAGTAGGACTCCCCCCACCCCCGACCCACCCCAACCCTAAGACACGAATTTTTTTTAGAGCTGGCTCTTATGGAGCCTGAGCGGACAGGTTCCAACACCTTCCTAACAGGCGTTTATTTCGCAAATCGTCACTTCGATGACACAGCAGTAGTTAAAGCTGACTTGGGGGAATTCTACAGGATATACATACAGTCCAACGCCTATATAAGATAGAACATTGGCCACACTTCGATTGAGAGCGCATTCAAACACGATTTGTGTTGTTATTTTGACTGCGTGCAAGATACAGAGCTGTTTTTGCCGTGGTATTGTATATTTCCTATCATACCCTTCATTGGGTGCCGTTAAACTATTTGTCCTTTATTGGGTGAGGTTAGACTATTTGTCCTTTATTGGGTGCGGTTAGACTCATTGTCCTTCATTGGGTGAGGTTAGACTCATTGTTCTTAATTGGGTGCGGTTAGACTGTTTGTCCTTTATTTGGGTGAGGTTAGACTCATTGTCCTTCATTGGGTGCGGTTTTACTCATTGTCCTTCACTGGGTGCAGTTAGACAATTTTTTCCTTTATTAGGTGCGGTTAGACTCATTGTCCTCCACTGGGTGCGGTTAGACTCATTGTCCTCCACTGGGTGCGGTTAGACTCACTGTCCTTTATTGGATGCGGTTAGACTTATTGTCCTTCATTGAATGCGGTTATAATCATTGTTTTTAGTTAGGTGCGGTTATAATCATTGTTTTTAGTTGGGTGCGGTTATAATTAATGTTTTTAGTTGAGTGCGGTTAGAATCATTGTTTTTAGTTGGGTGCGGTTAGAATCATTGTTTTTAATTGGGTGCGGTTAGAATTATTGTTTTTAGTTCGGTGCGGTCAGACTCATTGACCGTTATGTGGTGAGGTTTTAATCACTGTCCTTTAATGGGTGCGGTTATAATCATTGTTCTTAGTTGGGTGCAGTTATACTTATTGTCCCTAACTGGGTGCGGTTAGATTCATAGTCCTTCATTGGGTGAGGTCGGACTTATTGGCCTTTACTGGGTGCATTTAGACGCATTGTCCTTCATATGGTGCTGTTAGAATTATTGACATTCATTGGGCGCGGTTATACTCATGGTCTTTTATTGGGTGCGGTCAGACTCATTGTCCTCTAATTGGTGCTGTTAGACTTATTGTCCTTCATTGGGTGCGGTTAGAATAATTGACATTCATTGGGTGTGGTTATGCTCAATGTCCTTTATTGGTGGCGGTTAGACTCATTGTCCTTCATTAGGTGCGGTTAAACGCTCGCCTGTCGCTCGGAAGGTAGTGGGTTCCAGTTCTGACGCAGCTGGGGCGTTTTAAAAAATGGCCTACACTCCCAGATCGACCAAGCCTCGAGTGGGTACTAGGTAGAGTCTCGGAAAAAAAGGCGGTTGGCGGAATGCTGACCATATCCTCCACCTGCTGTCGATTAGTCTATAAAATATAGGTCTCGCCCTATGTACCTAATAGCCTTAAGGTCTTTTTTTTAAAAATAATTATTCCTACACTGTTGATGTGTATAGTCTTGTCCCGTCGACTTTATCCATTGATCTTGACGTCAACCTCTACGCTGAATTCGGTTTCGGTATGAACCACAGTCCTGAAGATGAACTGGCTATGAAAGGAGAATTGACAAGAGAAAGACACGTTTAGGTTTGCTGTAAGGAGAACAACGTTTTGTAAAGGATCTGGTAAACGATAATGATGAAACCTACAGAAAGAAATGGCAAATTAACGTAGCTGCAAATCTTTTACAGGACCTTGCACCAATAAACCTCAAGGGTACGGAACACTCCAGAAAAGAAGAAGAAGAAAAAGAAGAGTAAGAAGAAGTATTCTGATGCGCACAGATAATTATCTTCATGGGGTAACATATTTCAAGTCTCATCCGTCAGTAGAGCTCGGCGATGTCAATCTACGTACATCTGTAATTTGCTGCACAAAGCTTCTAAACATTGAGTATTGTAATTGGACATGTTGGAACATATTTATTTACACAGAACTTCGGTTTACCCAAGCCTGGTGTGGTCGGTCGTTAGGGATGCCCTAGTTAAAATCCCTGGCAAAGTTGAAGGGAAAATATGGGATTCGCCCTGTTGGTGTCCCTTGCAGATTGGGATCTTGTAATTTCAGAGTGTCAAACCTTTTTTCACAGGCCCGGGCAAGGGCGAGGTGGAATAGTTAGTCAGCCTTTTGTAGATTTAGAGTCGTCGTGGAGTAGTGGCTAGACGGAAGGTCGTGGGATAGAGCCCGGCAGTTTTCAAAAATGACCTCGGCTTCCAGGTTGACCAATGGACGCAGTCCTGGGGAAATTTGCCCTGCGCGATATTGACCACATCACTCATCAAGTGACGATTAGTCTTTAAAATATAGGCCTAGCCCTATATGCCCATTAGGCATAAAGGCGTGGAAAAGGGGCCTTTACTCTTGTATTTTTACTTTACTTATACATATATGTTTTACTCCGACAGCAAGACTGAAACTATTGGCCAACGATACAAGACAAGATGTCTGCGATCACGTCTGTGTTCTTATTTCTGCTAACTTCCAGTTTGGCTTATGCCGCGGGGCCAGGGGTCAAGCTTGCGGTCACCAACAACGGGCTCGTTTTTGGTAAGATCATTTTATTCTATTTCTGTTGTTAGTATCTCATTTGTACCGCTAGGCGTCACTGTTTAATAAATAATTAGTAGGGGAGCCAGGGCGCGCTCGGCTGCTTGGTACAATCATTATGCTTATAATAATAACACTGCTATATTATTATCAGCACAGATAAACAACATTATCATCATCATATTATATTACATGCACACACACACACACACAAACACACACACACACACACAAAGCTTCACCGATTAGAGTGCTCTATTTCACCAAAATGACAGATTAATAATCACATGTATTCTTTTAACGTTATATGTTTCTTAAATATTTCGAAAACTTTTGGCCTTTTTAAACGTCTGGTGGCCTGGCCAACACAACCGGACTACCCTTGAACAAATGACGGATATAATCATTGTAAGGCACAACCTAACATTTCACACACATATCTACGACATGACTAACCTGTTCTTATTGCAGGAAGACGACTATAAGACCACTATAGTCATACGCGGAATATTTTCACATTTCGGATCTATCCAAACGCCAAAACCGTTTCCAGTACTTTCTGGCAAAGTAAAAATACTCACATTTTAAAACTATAAATGGTGGTCTAAAGGACGTCATGTTGAGAAGCTCGTTCTCCTATGAAATAGGCCTGGACAAATCCTCCTCAAAGTGGAAACAGGAAGGAAAGGGCAAGATAAAGACAGTTAACAACAGGGTAGGGAACGAGCTGTCTGACTCGGAGGAACGAACGAACGAACGAACAAACTTTATTTTCAAAGGGTTACAAATTGGGCACGCAGGCCCGTCTGACATTCGGCCCTTCTAAGCACTCGTTTTTCAGAGTACTAATGCCTGTTATCTAAAATGCAAGAAAGCATTAGGTCCAGAAAAGGAGCAAATACCAGAGCGTTAGTCACGAAAGTGATGCACATATAGACCTAGATTGCTAGCAACCTGGCTAGCTAACAGCTGTCTGAAAGTGGTCAAACTTTTATTTTTTTTTTTTTTTTTTTAAAAGTTTCGGATTTGGGTATTTAAAAAAAAAAAAACAGTAATAGAAGGTACAGTTTAAGAAAAGGGAGGCCGACTCCGCGAACGTGGATAAAGACATTTAATATGCACCTGCTATGAAAGCACATAGGGTTGGTGAACTGGCTAGAGAAAGAAAGACTTTCAGGCGTGACGTGACGAGGAGGTCGTTCTATAAAAAACCTGCCAAGTGATGGTAATTTATCAAGTCCTTTAAGAAATAGATGACGCATTTAATCTGGTTCTTCTTTTTCTTTGCGCTCACTAGCTGTAAACTCTGGTGGAAAGTTCTGATTGTTCGTCCACTTCTGGACTGCAATCCTGTTCGAGAACCTGAGTGTTGCGTGTGCATCTGTTTGACAGATCTGACACATTTATGTGCAGACTGTTGGTTCCTTGCCTCTCAGGCTGATGCATTCCGACTTCGAAGAAAGCTCCCATTTAGTCGACTCTTGCGACATGCTTTTGGGCAGGCAGTGGGTCTATTCTTGTTTTCCCTTTAATGGAGCCCCGGAACCCACACCGGGGATCTGGTTATTGATGTTAAACTATCCCCGGGGCCTCTGTGGTGAAGTGGTAAAGCCGTTTGCCTCGCGCTCAGAAGGTCATGAGCTCGTTTAACGGATGAGCCCATCAGTTTCCGGGTGTAATTTTGACGGAGATACTTGGGGATCAATGCCGGAGCTGTGGATTTCGTGCTTTGTGTGATGCTCTCAGCAGGCGACTTGCTGTGCCAGATGGGGTAAAACCCGGTGCAATGTAGTCGATTCTAACTTTAACTATTAACTGTGCCATTCAAGGTTTCTTTGTGCATGCTCTGTGAAATAAAAAAAAGAACTTGAAAACGTCGTTACAACTAGAGAAAAAAAATTTATAGGGAAAGAGTTGGAGGAAGACAAAAAAAGATAAATATATGTAGATCCATGCAAAAAGCAGCCTAATCTTGGCAAGGGCAAAATCTGATTTCATTTCCTTTTTAATTACCCTTTTTTCCTACGTGGACACATACAATATGCAGACGATTGACATGGAGAGTGAGAAGTGACCACTAATGTACTACAATTGTTTGAGTAATATAGAGAGTATGGCAGATAACAGAGAGTATGGCAGATAACAGAGAGTATGTCAGATAACAGAGAGTATGTCAGATAACAGAGAGTGTGGCAGATAACAGAGAGTGTGGCAGATAACAGAGAGTGTGGCAGATAACAGAGAGTATGGCAGATAACAGAGAGTATGACAGATAACAGAGAGTGTGGCAGATAACAGAGAGTGTGGCAGATAACAGAGAGTATGACAGATAACAGAGAGTTTGTCAGGTAACAGAGAGAATAGCAGATAAGGGGAGGGTCAGCCGCTAGCCACGATTTCGTCCGAATACGCCGAAAGGCGTGAAAAAAGGCATTTACTTTTACATAAATAGTGACAGTAAACCTTTCTAATGACCACCGTGATATCTCGATCCTGACCCACAACCCCCTTTTCTCTGATTTGTTATGTAAATATATTTTGCCTGTTTTATATTCTAGCCAGCCAAGTTGCTGGGGCTGAACTCAGGAGTAAGCTACAGACACTCAACATCCCCGACCAGTCAGGAAGTGAGGGCAGCAAGTCTTGGTCTTTAAAAAAGTAAGTTATCTGCCGTACTCTATGTTATCCCCTAAATATAGCCGGGCCATAAATACCCCTTAACGACTGAACGAGGTTCCTGGGACCTCTCCGCGGGTGATCCTCATCCACATGGTGGCACTTTGTGTCACCGGGTGTTTATCGCTTGTGTGATGTCCTGGTGGGGTACAACTTACATACACTCTGATCTTATCCCTTCTGGGTGCATGGCCGATGTAATTCCAGCGGCACTTTCTAGTAAAATTGGAGACATTATCTTGAGTTGTCTCTTGTCGTAATTGGATCTGAAATTCGTCCAGTAGGAGTTGTACTATTGTTCTAGGATATATGGTCTCGAATTTGTACTTTTTTTTGGGGGGGGGGGCGGGGGTGGGGGGTTAATCTAGGTTGTATCTAGAGCTACCGTTGCTTTCCAACTCTCGCATCCATAACTTAGCACTGGAATCACACAAGAATTGAAGATCTTAAGTTTCGTGTGTTTGCTGAATGTCTTTGACTGCGAGTTGTTTGACAGTTTGTTAAATGCACTAGATGCCAGTGAAATTCTAGATGATATTTCTAACGCTGAATCCACTATACATGCTATTATACTCCCTAGGTATGTAGATGCCTGTAGGAACATATTTGGAATTAACTAAGAAACAAATGGTATTTGTTTGGTACTGTAAAAGTATATGATGCTGTTTGATCTTTGCAGCATTCATATAAATGGTATCACCGGACCAGACGCACACATCTCGCTGAATCCCGAGGCAAGCGGGATCACACTGGGAATCTCCAACTTCGGCATAAATTTGTATGCAGACTGGAGCGCCAAGTACAGGATTATGTGAGTTGAGTTTGTTGCACTTTTGTCCGTCTGTTTTTCCTCTTTTTTTTTTCAGTGTACGTTTTCTTTGAACTACTTTCATGTGGACTTTTATTCTATTTCAGGCGACAGAAAGAAACTGTAGGCGGAAAATATACTTGTTTTACACATTGCAAAACGCTAGATTATACAACTCGACATTTGCAAGCGAGGTTACTGTGCAACAGCGTTACACCGTGCAAAACATCTATTTTAAACGGTGCAGCACACGCGTTTTACCAAATGCAACACACCCGTTCTGCGCATTACAACAAAGCAGTTTTGCGATTTGAACGCCTTAGTTTGCGCATTGCAACACCCTAGTTTTGCGCATTGCAACACGCTAGTTATGCGCACTGCAACACACCAGTTATGCGCATTGCAACACCCTAGTTTTGCGCACTGCAACACACCAGTCATGCGCATTGCAAAACCCTAGTTTTGCGCACTGCAACACACCAGTTATGCGCATTGCAACACCCTAGTTTTGCGCACTGCAACACCCTAGTTTTGCACATTGCCACACCCTAGTTTTGCGCATTGCAACACTCCAGTTTTGCACATTGCCACACCCTAGTTTTGCGCATTGCAACACACCAGTTTTGCCCATTGAAAACCATAACTCTCTTCAAAAGAGAATATAGTACTAAGTGGAAAAATTAAAGGCAGGCAAGCATGACGTAGGCAGCGATACAAGTGGAAGGACTGTATCAAAATATGGACGAACAGTAGTCTGCAGAGTACAACCAGGGCAAGAGATAGTCATGGAGATCAGTCGAAGCCAGCCTTCATTGCGGAGATGGCACCTGATAGTTTGAAGTTTTGTTTAGAGTTGTGACTAAAATGGTAACGCTTAATCAACTGATGCTTGTGTGCCTGTAACTACAGCCAGACTGAAGCAACTGCAAACCAAAAGTGGCGAACTCAGATGAGAGTACTATGAGGGATGTCAAAGAAGAATCTCTTAAAAGGGCGGTTGGCTAGAGTGTTGTGGTTGTACAGCTATAGTGCGGTATCTGTGCTCTCTTAGTCCAACACATCCGAGTTAAGAAAATCCCTAACTAGTCGCCTTTTACGACATGCTTGTTAAGCATGTTAAGTAATCTATCTCCCTCCCTCTCTGTCTTTGTATGTCTGTCTGTCTGTTTCTCTCTCTCTATATCTCTCTCTCTCTCTCTCTCTCTCTCTCTCTCTCTCTCTCTCTCTCTCTCTCTCTCTCTCTCTCTCATGCACGAACTAAATATTTATCTCCTGTGTTTGTATATTGTCGTGTAATGCTTCATAAGTGCGTTCGTCACGGTTTTTCATTATTTTGTAAATTGTGTAGTTACATTTTTCGTGAGAAAGTGTTGGTTTTCATTATCCGCAAACTCTCATTATGTGTTTTGAGTAAACACCGTGTTGAAATATTGTCTGGTCTCACTTGTTGTATGTGAATGTCACGTTCTCCTATTATCCGAGATATTGTTGTATAGTAGACTTGTTGGTGACATTATGTTGGGGTGTGGGTCACCCAATACGGCTCATTATGTTGGCAGACACGTCCCGTGAGAGACTGCCGCACTAGAGTGTCACCTGACCCGCATATGTTATGTGAACACTCGCAGGTAATTAGGCAACTGTAAACAGTGCGTGACGCCGGAGAGAGTTTCACAGTAGGACTGTAGTAGCTGTTACTAACCCAGATCTCTCTTGTTGGAATAGTATGATAATATCGTCATCATATCATCACCCCGACACCTTCACCAACATCATCAAATACATTGCTCATTATGTGGGTTCTAGGGGCCACCCGTTAGTTAATCAGTTAATCGATGTTTTAACGTCACGGCTAACTATTCACCCTTTAGTTGCTACGTTACACAGAATTCCCATTGTTGTCCCATGTGAACAAAATTGAAAACTATTGCTGGTTCTTTAAAGTCCACAGTAGACACACCCATTAAATGCATAATGCAGTATATAATAAGCATGTTCCAAAATGCGACAATTTAACAATTTTCTGACATCAAATGTGTTTGGCCGAAACAAGCAAATATCGCAGATTATCTGTAAACAACCCGTTGAATGTTAAACGATTTTTAAGGGTCAACGCAAATAAAGAAGAAGGAGGAGGAAGAGGGGGAGGAGCTGGAAGAGAAGGGGGAGAAGGAGAAACAGCAGGAGAAGGAATAATGCTTTGCCGATTGGTGGGATGGATCACCCTCTGCTACATCTCTAAAACCAGGTTCAGTTGTCGTGTTGGGGAAAGGGGAGTTGAGGGAAAGGTCACTTTTTTTAGGTAGTGACGAAAGTCTTGACTTCTGTTGTTCCTTTCTTTGTAATTCCTTGCATGACTGACACAATTTAAAAAAAAATACTTTTCACAGATTCAAAATCAGCTCCAGCGGAAGTGTGGATTTCAGCATATCAGGAGCTTCTATTACCCTGGTAGCTGGACTGGGTAAGTAGATTGGGGTCACTGGCCCAACTAAACTTACTACATCTTCTGTAAAAGCGTTTGCTGCGGGACGCAGTGATTGATGATTTCTGGCTTCCGATCAAAATAGACGTTAGGCACGGTCACTGTTTGAGTCGTGGCAAATTGTTTGCTTACTTTTCACTAGGGCTGTACCGAATAGTGATTTTCACTATTCGGCCGAATACGAATAGCTGGACCAACTATTCGGCCGAATACGAATACGAATAGTGAATCATCATCATCATGTGCTTTGCCGACTGGCATGGGCGATTATGCCTCGCCACATTCTGCGATCTCCTGCAGCACGTATTAGTTCGTGTGTTGACACACCTCCATGAAAAACCTTCGTTCCGTGTTGTCAGCATTAGGCCAGCTTTTTGTCTCACTGAACGAACGAACGAACGAACGAACGAACAAACTTTATTTTTAAAGGGTTAAGAATTGGGCACACAGGCCCATCTAACATTCCGCCCTTCGAGGTCTCCTTCCATTCTTACATCATTTCATTCACACTGAAGGTATTTCCAGCTGTACTAAACAGGAAAATACGACAAATACAGAGAGTCAAAATGAAAACCCGCAAGGCGAAACATCAAAAACAAAAATAACGCCGACGAAGAAAACAATGCCGTCCTTACAAGTCGCCCAGCCCCCTGCGAGCTCACGAAACCAGACGCCGGGCGGCCAACGCCAGAAGATCAGACAACAAAGACAGACAACAAAGACAATCAAGAAACCGAACGTCGATCAAAACATTCAGCCGCTGCCGTTTCCACGAGACGACGAAAGAACAGATACGACACCCATAAATGATGACGAACTCCCATTACTTCAAAGAATCAACGAAGAGGACACTCTAGTCAAAGAAATCAAGCCGACAACACTAGAACACTTGCTTTTCTGCCCCTCTTACATTTTTAAGTGTTGCATTTTGTTTCTACAGCAACACACCTAAAAACACTATACTCGCAACACATGCAAGATGGAAATAAAGGGGCACTTGGTACGCTCGTAGGTGGTGCACAAAGATAACGCTTTACAGTATAAACCAAGGTGGGAAGTCTTGATGTTTTTTTTTCCACCAGTCCAGAAACAGTTGTGAGGTAACCACTATTCGTATTCGGCACGACCGCAACTATTCGGCCAAATACCGAATAGTTATTGGGTCCACTATTCGGCCCCGAAGCGAATACGAAGCGAATGTTCGGTACAGCCCTACTTTTCACAGTAGCAAAGAGTTGTCATGTTAATAGTGGCTGTTGGAACCTGATTAGAAGTACCAGATGCAACTTAATTAAAAGTACCAGCGGCAGCCGATTAAAAGTCCATCTCTGTTCCCCCTCAATGTTTACTATCTTTCACACCCTCTGCACCCCTGCCCCCTCTTCCGTTGAATTAGTCTTTCATTGTATGGATTTTCTATCTGTTCTATTGCACCTTTGATCTGATCCCATAGATCCGTCAACCAAATTGATCGCGTGTGCAACAGCTGATCTGTTGGTAACTTCTGCTACCGTCGATGATAAACTGTATTGCTAATGTCGGACTGTTTGTGTTAGCACTTCTGATGGCTACCGTATGCTTTTAATGCGTATGTACAATATGCTGAGACAGCAGTCTGTCAGGAGGAAGAGGATGAGGAGCAGATAATGATTACGACGATAAAGATGATGATGAAAGTGGGGAAAAAAGTGTAACACAACACATGGCTTCTATATTTCATTCAGGAGAAAAGAATGGTCGTCCCTCTGTGTTCGCGAAATCCTGCAGTTGTAACCTCGGAGACATCGGCATCAAGTTCCATGGAGGATTGGCAGCGTTGATCTTGAACATGTTTAAGGGAGCTGTGCGAAACAAAGTTAGAAGTCTACTTCAAGATAAGGTGAGTTCAACAACTATACATTGTTAGACCTTTTGTGTAGATCAGTTGTTCACAACCTTATAAAGCATCGACACTTTAATAAAGTTCATAATGTTGTGGTGACCCCCAACCATTACATTGTATTCGTTGCTACTACATATTCTAAAAAGTTAAATGCGTATCCTTTACAGGACGTTGCAGAACCAGCCCTAGCAGCCCCTGGCTGTTGTGTGGTTTTTCTAATCAAATGTACGTCCAGTAGTTTGCCATTGCTACTGCACGGTCGGCCCCGCGATCCCACTGTCCAAACCAACGCAAGGCTGGGATTCAACCGGGCATCCCGGCATTACGAAGCGTTCGCATCGACTAAGCCACAGAGCTGACTATTACTACATAACTTCAGTGAATCTGTGTTTTCCGATTGTCTTAGGCCTCCTGTGAAATGGTCGTTCGACCACCAAAGTGGGGTTAATGCTTTAATCCCTGGTTTCTTTCTTCTTGTTCTTTTTGATCCAGTGTGAAGGCATTCTAGTTATATTATTCAATGATTGATAGTTTGTTATGGCTTTAGTGTTGGTTAAACGTGACTGCGCGGCGACCCGGTGACGAACTCCTTGTGGTCCCAGTTTACGCCCGGGGTTAGGTAGAAAAGCCACATTCCTCCCAGATTTACGGTATCTATCATGTAATGAAGACCGATGGGTTGCGATATCCATAGTACGGAACCAAAGGGTTAACATCTCATGGTTTCTGGATATTATATATATATATATATTACAGAACAGTCTCAAGATCTCATCACTAGACCGTTTTGACATATTTGATAAGAATAAGGAACAGATGATCTCTGCCCAACGACCATGTTAAGCAGCAGTTTTAAGAAGAGGAAAACAACTATTAAATTAATCAACTGGTGTGGTCTAAAAACCCTGCCCTCACTGCCCCAGAACTTTGCTAAGGTTCGCTTTGGTGACCTTACGTACGTATGAACGGACTGAACATCATCATGAACTGAACAAATAGGTAGAGGCTAATCTTTGGAATTGTGCAGGACACAAAGAAAGAGCAATACAGGCAACTGGAGATATCATAGAGCAACGGTTCTCATCATTCATAATGCCGCGACCTTTTGATACAGTTCCTCGTGTTGTGGTAACCCTCAACCATAATGTTATTTTTGTTGTTTCTTCGAGTCTACTCCAAGAACTACTTTTACGATGCAGATTCAATGTTTTGTTTTCTATTTTGTCACATCAGTTTTCTTTATGCTGTGCAAGTGTTTAAAATGTGAAGTGTTATATAACCAGGTGTGTCAGATTGTCACTGAACAAGTTAACACTCGAGCTGACCAGGAACTTTCCAGAATGAAGGGTAGGTCTCTGTTTGTTATGTTTCGTTGTTTTTCTGCCAGAGAAACTGTCAGTATTTGCTTGTTTACCTGGCAGTTTCCTGTAACTTTAGTCAACTTACAAATAAATAGTCGAAAACGCTTTAAAAAAAATATTGGAGAGAAGGGTCGACCACATGGGAACAAGAGGTAGACAGCAATGCAGGTGGAAGACAACATTAAAAGATAAACGAACCAGCAGTGTTAGTGTACAATCAAGACAAGAGATAGAGCGTGTCTTAGATTCATTACAACCAATCTTCATTGTGGAGACGACACCTGGTTCACTTATTGAAACACCCTCAAAGAGACCACTAGAAATAGATAGTAAGTAGAAATATTATCAGTAAATCAGCAATCATACTTGGAAGCGTTCAGGGCATACAGTGTTGACCCATATTTTAACATACTCCTCACAAGATGTTTGTAACTAATGGCCGAGCGGTTACAACGTCGGGCTGTCATGCGAGAGACCTGGGTTCCACCCCTGGTAAGGTGATGGAGTTTTCCGTCACAAGGAGGGATTGTGTGTGTGTATGTGTGTGTGTGTGTAAAGGGGGGGGGGAGGCAATTAAACATCCTAACCCGTACAGTCAGTGGCGACAGCACTAGCCAAGCGGTGGGTCAAACTGAGACACTCTACCAAACAGTCAGCGCGAATGATGCCATTTAACTCAATTAATATTGTGTGGACTAGCTGTGGTGGATGGCCAGTCCACTTAGCTTCAGACAATAAGGTTGGACCAGCTTCTGTCTCATCCTTAAGATGTACTCAGCGTCAGACTGTGCTAACATACACTGTTGAATCTCCATAAACATTCTTCAAACGTTCATGGATGCGAATTTGAGTCTCACCTTCAGCAGAGGGGAATTCTATGACATTACGATGTCTTAAACATCTCTTATAAACCGTTACAAGGTAGTTAATCAGAGTGGAAATGCTAAGTAGAAGCGTGTCTGGGAACTGTTGGCAAATTTACAAATAGCACACGAATACAGTATTTACAAAAACAAAACAAAAAACAAAAATTGTTTCATTTCTATGTAACCGTGCCCCGTATGAATGATATAGCAGTTCCACACACACACACAACCAATGAGATGATTGCTTGGAATAATGTGATTTGACTGTACTTTTCAAACCAGTGAATGTGGAGATTGCTAAGAAGTTTATCCTGGACTACAGCCTCACTAGTGCTCCCACCGTCACAGGCAACTACATTGAGGTCGCTACCAAGGTAATTATTAGTACTGACCGAGTTTATTTTTAGCAAAGTCTCCTTAGTTAGTTAGTCGACAGGTTATCTTTACTACACAGAAACATTCAGTCCATAAGTGCTCGGATCCCTGCCTTAGTAAATCCCGCAACGTGAAGCGGCTCATGACACCAGTTGTGTTGGTTTCTTATTGTTCTTTGGCTACCCGCGTAGTGCTCTTGTCTGGCCACACCACTCTTGTTCTTGCAGTCTGCTCATGGTTGCAGATTAACAGTCATCTCTTGGTTCTCGCAAACGTCCTACTTCTCATAGAACATTCAGACTATTAGCATTGTCCATGACATATTTACCAACCACAGTAGCTTTACCAGCAAGCCAATCAACTCGCTTATTTCCTTGCACACTTGAGTACCCTGGGACAAATGTGAAACTGATATGCATCAGCCCCGACCGCTTTAGAGACTCCAGCCACTGTCTCGGTTCCAACCCTTCTCCTTCTTCCTGAGCATACTCTCCTGATATAAGGGACCATTAATATTCAAGTTTCAAAATAAAACAATCCATATGCATGTGTGACATATAACACAACATAAAGTGCCGGAGTTAGGCAAAAACTAACTTAACTCTAGCTTGAAGCCTCGCAATCTACAGGGGCCTTAAAATGCAGTTTTTTTTTGTAATATATTTGAAATGCATAATGTATGTTTAAAATTGTCAGCAGTGTGCATCATGTGTATAGACAGCGAAATGTTAAACGGCATTTTCTTTGATGGCAAAGTCACTGATAGTGCGTGTGGGAAACCAAGGAAGAACAATGTTTTAAGCTGTAGCATAGAGACGTTCAAAGAATTATATAACATAATTTCGGTGATTTTGAAAACAGTCTTTATTATTAAACGACTTAATTATTTCTTACAATAAAAGATTAATCGACTGTATTATTTCTTATAATAAAAGACAAAACGACTCTTTATTATTTGTTCTATTAAAAGATAAAACGACTTTATTATTTCTTCAAACAAAAGATTAATCGACTTTATTATTTCTCAAAAAAAAAAAAAAAAAAAAAAGAAAGAAAGAACAAACGACTTTTTTATTTCCTATAAAAAAAAAAAAAAAAATCTTCAATGACAGTATCCACATATTTAAGTTTTCTGAGATAAGCTGGTGCACTTCAAAATGGCACTGGTCTTAGCCCTTTATATAACGCATTCGTTAGCCCGACCCAGTGACGTCAGCAGCACGGTCTGTTAGCTGGAGTCTCTCGTGCTCTAGCGCCATGTAAGCCTAAAAGCGCTGAAAAGTGGTCATTTACTTTAATGGGAAAGCTAATAAAAAGACGAGTGTTTGAGGTTTGAGGTTTCAAACACCTGATCAACATCATGGCATACGCGTGTAACCCGTAAGTTCTCCGTTTTTCTTCCAACTCAAGTCTGAGTCGGAGAAGCTCAGCACAGGCTCTGTAGCACCGGCGAGTATCCTTAAATACTTTGGGTAGATTTTTGACTCCAAATTTTGCACAGGCAGCACCGTTAGGCTACTCTTTTCGATTTCCAACTGCCAAGGGATTTTTTACGTGTGCAACAATGCACACGGGGGTCCGATCTTACTACCCAGAGACTAGGGGGATTTGCTAGAAGTTCAAGTTCACTCGAAAAAATCCCAGCTTTTACAGTGGATTGAAGCCGGAACCTCTAGCACTCGAGGCGGATACCATGCCTCAAGACATTTGTGTCTGTGAGTAAATAATATAAATTTTTGCTTTCAGACAAAAAAACCGACCGTTGAGTCTATTTCTTCATGTTAATAATTTGCCGTTACATTACAGGGAACCGTCTATTGGAAAGACAACAGACAGGAGAGTCCATACACGCCAGCCGTGCTGCCAGATTTATCTGATTTCAGCAACATGTTGTATCTGGATGTGACGGAGTATTCGGCCAACACTTTCGCCTATGTGGCACATGTCAATGGCTTCCTTAAGTACGCCATAACTGTGGACAATGTAAGTTTTGTCATTTTCCGTTGTTCCTTAAAATTAAGAACAAATTTAAACTCCCATATGAATGCTGCGATGTTTTATAATAGAGATGTTGTTGTTGTTGTTGTTGTTGTTGTTGTTGTTGTTGTTGTTGTTGTTGTTGTTGTTCTTCTTCTTCTTCTTCTTCTTCTTCTTCTTCTTCTTCTTCTTCTTCTTCTTCTTCTTCTTCTTCTTTTTCTTCTTCAAATTAACATAAATATAACTAAATCTTTACTTATAACAACCAGACAAAAGTTACAAACACTAGTACTGCACAAGCCACCCTTTAAACTCTTCACTGGTAAATTCTTCTTCTTCTGCCTTTTTATCCCCCAATGGAGCATAGGCCCCCAACCAACTTACGCCAAGTCGTTCTATCCTTCGCCATTACATGGAGCTCTCCCCATGTCCTCCCAATCTTTCTAACCTCATTCTCCAGCTCTCTTCTCCATGTGTTTTTTGGCCTTCCTTTATTCCTATGCCCCTGTGGGTTCCAATGCAAAGACATTCTAGTTATGCTGTTCTCCTGTTTTCTCAGTGTGTGCCCTATCCAACGCCAGCGTCTTTTCCTCACCTCCTGATCCACTGGAGCCTGTTTAGTTCTCTCCCAAAGTTCTACATTAGTTATTCTATCATACCATTTTATTCCCTCTATTCTGCGCAGGCACCAGTTAATGAATGTCTGTAATTTATTAGTAATTGCCTTCGTTGTTCTCCATGTTTCCGCCCCATACAATAGTACTGATTTGACATTAGAATTAACAAATTTTAGTTTAGTATTTCTTTTAATTTCTTTTGACCTCCACAAATTCCCTAGTGCTATGAAAGCCCCTCTTGCCTTTTGTATTCTTATTTTAATATCTCTATCAGTTCCTCCATCTTTATCTACATTACTGCCCAAATAGGTGTACGACTCCACGTCTTGGAGTGGGGTGCCATTAAGAGAAACCACATTACTATTTGCCTGATTTATTCTCATTATCTTTGTCTTTCCTTTATGGATTTTCAGACCAAGCTGCTGTGATCTCGCATTAAGTATATTTAATTTATCTTGTATCTGATTCCGTGAATGGGACAGAAGGGCAATATCATCAGCGAAGTCCAGATCATCAAGCTGTTTTGTAGGGGTCCACTGAATTCCATTCTTGGTGTTAGCAGTTACTGTTTTCATAGTCCAGTCTATAGCCAGTAAAAAATAGGAGAGGCGACAAAAGACATCCCTGTCGCACACCTGTTTTTATTTCAAATGCATCTGTTAGCTTTCCCTCATGAAGAACTCGACATTTCATGTCTTTATATGTTGCCTTTACTAAGTTGATAATTTTCTGTGGGATTCCATAGTGCCCCATCAATTTCCAGAGAGATTCCCTATCAATGCTGTCAAATGCTTTTTCATAGTCTATAAATCCAATGTAAAGTGGTGAGTTCAGTTCAATGCTTTGCTCTATTATAATACGTAATGTGGCTATCTGATCAGTACATGATCTGTTGGACCGAATTGGAACTGACAGCAACATAATTCCTCTATAGTTTTCACACTCCTGTAGATCACCTTTTTTGGGCAGTTTCACAAGATATCCTTCTCTCCAGTCTGCTGGTATTTCTTCGGTCTCCCAGACTTTACTGAATAATCTTTGTAGCAATTCTGTTGATGTGTTTATGTTGGTCCTGATGGCTTCAGCTGGGATACCATCTGGGCCTGACGCCTTTCCTTCCTTAAGAAGATTTATAGCTTTTCTAATTTCCTCTTTGGATGGTATCTCACAGTTGATATTCAGTTCCATTTCTAAAGGCTGGATATCTGGGGGAACCTCAGGGCTGGTCTATTTAGAAGCATTTCAAAATATTCAACCCATCTGTCCATTTGATCTTTAGTGTTAGTAAGTACCTTTCCTTGACTATTTTTTATTGATCCAATTGGCTGACTATATTTACCTACTAATTTTCTTGTGTTGCTGTAAAGTTCTCCGAGGTTTCCTTTTGCTGCTGCTGTCTCCGCTTCTTGTGCTAGATCATTTAGATATTTCACTTTATCTGCCCTTATATGCCTCCTGTCTTCAATCAATTTAATGGTTTCTGGTGTTATCCATGCTTTATGTTTCCTTTCTTTCTTGCCAAGAACTTCTACGCAAGATTCATTCCAGATTCCTTTGATCTGATCCCAGCAGACTTCTGTGTTGACATCTTCAGCTAACTGCTGCAATACCTGGTACTTATTAGAGACCGTAACTGAGAACTGTTCCTTAATTTCTTTATCTCTGAGAAAGCCTACATTATATTGGTTTCTATGATTATAAGATGTTATATATCTTTTTAGTTTCAACTTGATTTTACTTATCACCAGGAAATGGTCAGTAAATACATCGGCACCTCTGAAAGCCCTAACATTGTAAAGGGATGATCTAAACTTTTTGTTAATACATATGTGGTCAATTTGATTAGTTGTCTTATGGTCTGGTGATTCCCATGTTGCCTTGTGTATACTTTTATGGGGAAAAATACTTCCACCAATAACATACTGGTTACCTGCACAAAAATTTGTGAACAATTCTCCATTTTCATTCATTTCTCCTAGACCATGTCTCCCCATAATTTCTTCATAACCTGTGTTGTCTGATCCTATCTTAGCATTCAAGTCACCCATCAAAATTTTTAAGTTGCCCTTTCTTTCATTATTTATAATATTCTGAAGCTGCATGTAAAATTCTTCCTTAACATCACTGGTAAATTACCTATTGTTAATATAACGGAACACAAAACACTAAGTCTTACAATTGACAACCATTTAACTTGGATTTCTCATGTTTGTGTCATACCTAAGAAAATAGCACAAGTTTATAAGCTTGCCAAATTTCAGCACTTTCTAGACGAAGATGAAAGAAAAGTATTTTAGGCGTCCTTCATCCAAACTCATATCGACTATTGTTCAACAGTTTGGGATGGTTGCGCTAACTTCAATGTTAAAAGACTAAGTTCTCTTCAAAACCATGCTTTACGCCTCTTTTCAGATAGAAAACTTATCGATAAAAAATAATCTCCGTAACCATTGAAGACTATTGCCATTTAGTAAACATTTAATTTTTAACAAAGCTAAATTTATTCATTAGATTTTATCTCAGAATTAACCAAACTACCTTTTCCGATTGATTAAATCCAATCCTAGAAATAGCAAGCGACCAAATTTATTACATTTGCTCAATTCTAGAATAGATTTATTTAAAACAAGTTTCGCGTACTCCGCTGCTCACCCATGGAACCAACTTTCAGTGGACCTGAAAAATTCAGAGACCATAAAAATTTAATTGCAAACTTTTTCAGTTTATGCTTACAAACGATTATATGCTGCTTTGTTAATAATCCATATTGTATTATCAGTTTATTATTAAACATGGTGTATATGATATGTATGTTTGCGCGCGAGCGCATATATATATATATATCTGTGTGTGTGTGTATGTGTGTGTGTGTGAGTGTGACATGTGTATGTATACGTATGTATACGTATGATTCAGAATTTGTATGAGTGTATGTATGGGTAATTGTATAAGTTTTGTGTGTGTCTGCGTGTACGTCTGTGTGTGTTTATCTCCGTGTGTGTGTGTGTGTGTGTGTGTGTTTGAGCCTGTGTGTGTATCTGTGCGTCTGTGTGTGTGCAGCAGGTGTGTGTGTGTATATATGTGTGTGTTTGTCTGCATGTGTATCTGCGTGTATGTAGACGTGTGTATGTGTATGCGTGTGTGTCTGCGAATGTACGCGTCTGTGTGTGTCTATGTGAGTGTCTGCGTATGTGTCTTTGTGTGTAGGGACTTAACGTATTGTTGTGTGCACGTGTGTCTAGTGTATATGGCAGGGTGTGTTTGTCAATCTGTTTGTGTGTGTGTGTGTGTGTGTGTGTGTGTGTCCCTGTGTGTTTGTGTGTGCCTCTTTGTTGTATGTTTGTGTCTGCAAGACGATGCGCATGTCTCTGTGTGTGACTGTGTATATGCGTCTGCACAACCTCTTCCCAGTGAACGCCTCATGGTTAAAACCCTCCGCATAAGAGGATGAACAGGTAACCGTCTAGACCATATTTAGGCCTCTGCCACATCTGCGGTTGTACAAGGTAGTGACGTTTTAGGGGCCGCAAAATTCTGAGGGCGGCACAAAATATAACAAATAGTAATAACATGTTCACAAATATATTTCCGTTATCATTACGAAGCAAACCTTAGATCAGCGTTCTGGCATTCAAATGCTAAGTCAAGAAAGGGTGTAACATTGACGACTGCATAAGGTCGTCGTACATGCTAAAACGGCCCTAATACCGTAACCTACCGTACACATACGTACACATACGTACACACATACGTACACATCGGTATGTACACTGACACTTGTTTGCCCGCAAACATTTGTACATAAAACATACAGAACTAAAATGAAAGATGAGGATGATGATGATGCAATTCTCCGCAGCTGTAAACATCTGAGATTGACTGACTGACTGACTTTTTACCCCACCAGGACATCACACAAGCGATAAACACCCGATGACACAAAGTGCCACCATGCGGATGAGGATCACCGTGGAGAGGTCCCAGAAACCGCGTTCAGACAATTGGCCATATTGATGGCCTGCCTATATTGCGGCCCCTGGCAAAAGCCAGAATGGGGCTTCAAATAACAAAAAATTACGTCCTAAGAAGGACGTAAAGAATATAGGGATATGAGTACATCTGAGATTATTTATACTGTCCATCTGAAAACATTCAGTATTGTGTGATTCTGTCTCACAATTCAGACCTAACTGTTCTCTTGAAATTGTTTGTCCTTGCAGTTACCAATTGGAGCGGCAGATTTGCTGAACCCCAGTGGTCAGGTCAGTTTTCGATATTTGTTTTTACCTAAATTTGAATTCACTTATTCATCTATGCATCCATGCATCCGTTTATCTTTTCCTTTCCTTCCTTTTTCCTTCCTTCCTTCCTTCCTTCCTTCCTTCCTTCCTTCCTTCCTTCCTTCCTTCCTTCCTTCCTTCCTTCCTTCCTTCCTTCCTTCCTTCCTTCCTTCCTTCCTTCCTTCCTTCCTTCCTTCCTTCCTTCCTTCCTTCCTTCCTTCCTTCCTTCCTTCCTTCCTTCCTTCCTTCCTTCCTTCCTTCCTTCCTTCCTTCCTTCCTTCCTTCCTTCCTTCATTCCTTCCTTTCTTCCTTCCTTCCTTCCTTCCTTCCTTCCTTCCTTCCTTCCTTCCTTCCTTCCTTCCTTCCTTCCTTCCTTCCTTCCTTCCTTCCTCCCTTCCTTCCTTCCTCCCTTCCTTCCTTCCTTCCTTCCTTCCTTCCTTCCTTCCTTCCTTCCTTCCTTCCTTCCTTCCTTCCTTCCTTCCTTCCTTCCTTCCTTCCTTCCTTCCTTCCTTCCTTCCTTCCTTCCTTCCTTCCTTCCTTCCTTCCTTCCTTCCTTCCTTCCTTCCTTCCTTCCTTCCTTCCTTCCTTCCTTCCTTCCTTCCTTCCTTCCTTCCTTCCTTCCTTCCTCCATCCCTTCCTTCCTTCCTTCCTTCCTTCTCTCCTTCCTTCCTTCCTTCCTCCCTCCCTCCCTTCCTTCCTCCCTTCCTTTCTTCCTTCCTTCCTCCCTTCCTTCCTTCCTTCCTTCCTTCCTTCCTTCCTTCCTTCCTTCCTTTATTCCTTCCTTCCTTCCTTCTATCCATCCATCCATCCATCCATCCATCCTTCCTTCCTTCCTTCCTTCCTTCCTTCCTTCCTTCCTTCCATCCATCCATCCATCCATCCATCCACGCTTCCTTCCATTCATCCTCCCTTCCATCCATCCATCCTTCTATTCATCCGTCTATGCATCCATCCATCCATCCATCCATCCATCTACCCATTCATCCATTCTTCCTTCCATCATTCCTTTCATCAATCAATCGATTCTTCCATCCCTCCATTAATCCATCTATGCATACATCTATCTACCAATTCATTCATTCTTCCATCCATCCCCCTTCATCCATCCATCAATTCCATTTATGTATCCATCCACCCATCCTTCCATCTATCCGTCCTTCAATCCTTTCTTCCTTCCATCTATCCATTTATCCATCTATACATCCATTTTCCCATACTATCAGCCATCTATCCACTGATTAACTGGTCTCATCGCTATCACACTGTGTAATTTAGGAAGAAAATTAAAGAAAGGGAAATAACATTCAACACGCAAACTTTCTCTTCGTTTGGATGTTAACTCCCTTAATTATAGCATAAACGTTGATCTGTAGTCACAATACCGACTTCTTTTGTTTTGTCTTTTCATTATATTTGATTTGTTTTGCCATGGTCCCCAGCTGAAGGATCATTATCCGGATTCGAAACTGGAACTTCGAATCAACTCTTCAAGCGCCCCAAGTGTGAAGTTTGAAAGCCACAAACTGACCATCGCCGCCGCAGCAACAGTGGAAGTGGCTGCCCACACACCGGACGGAGTGGTGACCCCACTTTTACTAAAAGTAGTAAGTATACGAGTTGACACAGAGTAAAAACCTCTCTCGCAGATACCACTGTGGAATTCAGCACAAGGCGGCCTGCTGCCACATCATTTGCAGCTGGGGTCGAAATCAGTACCATAGAATTAAGAAGCGCGTCCCTGACGCCTAAGCAACAGTAGCTAACAGGACCAATGACATTGTGATTGTTTACACATTGTGGTTATCCCCAGGGTTTTCCACGGCCTCTCCTCCCACTTAACTTTCCCATGGTTTTTCTACGACCTCTCCTCCAACTTAACTTTTTATGGCTTTTCCACGACCTCTCCTCCCACTTAAATTTCCAATGGTTTTTCCACGATCTCTCCTCCCACTTAATTTTCAAATGGTTTTTCTACGACCTCTCCTCCCACTTAACTTCCCCGTGATTGTCTACGACCTCTCCCTCTAATTTACTTTCCGCATGGTTTTCCACCACCTCGCGTCTCATTTATCATCCCCATAGATCTCTACGACCTCTCGTCTCATTTATCATCCCCATGGATTTCCACGATCTCTCGTCTCATTTATCATCCCCATGGATTTCCACGACCTCTCGTCTCATTTATCATTATAGTAGTTTCCACGACCTCTTGTCCCATTTATCATCACCGTAGTTTCCACGGCCTTTTTTTTTTCCAGTTTAACCTTTGCCGTGTTTTCCCGCCACTTCTCTTTCCATTTAACTTTTGAATGGTTTTCCACGACCTTTCAACCCATTTATCATCCCCATGGTCTTTCTGACCTCCCTTCACATTTAACTTTTTGGTTATCACGACGTACTTCAATTTTTCTATTCCAATTTATTAATTTAATCACATTTCCATATAATGGTTTCATATTTAAAACAGTCTTTAAAAATCCTCACATTTGACTATACAGCTGCTCTTTGATGTATGTATGTGTATACTTATATATGTATTATACTTTGCAAGTATTTGACTAGTGCGTGTTATCATATTTCAGAGCGTGTCAGTGACTGTAGATCCGTCTGTTGTCAATGGGAATTTGACTGGAAGTGTCACCGGATACACGTAAGTTATAGCCTCCCATTTTCTAAGGCTTACACAGTGAATGACTTTTTAAATACCGTGCTACTCCAATTTACGGACATCGTTCGTTCCTCAATTTAGTTCGTGTCTCGACAAGTTCACACCTCTAAACCTAATATCCCAATGCATCTTACATAACATTTATTAATCCGTTCTCAGATTTTAAAAACACACACACAAACACACACAATGAAAAGAAAAATTAAAATAGAAGAGAACTATTTTGTTGGAAGTACGCGATATCTAATTAACAATTTGAATTGTTTGTCCGTAACGAGTCATCTAAGTGTACAAACTAACTACAAAAACAGAAATAGGTACACTAAAAAGCAAACACGTAGGTGCAGTAAGTATGAGACGCACACACCCCTCATTGCCTGGCAGCCGAATAGATAAATATGACGTAGAACAACAAGCGAGAGCGCATTGCAAGGGTATTAGGGCTCGTATCTCGAATCTAGGATTGTGTGTAGAGGTGCAATTAGGATATTTAAAAAAATTCATATCGTGTGTAGAGCGGTTTGTAAGTCGAGTTACCATTGTAATAATAATAATAATAAGACAACCTTGTCGAAGTTGTGGAAATAGATGTTTCAATGTGGAAAGTGGACGAGGCGTTGGTCCATGTTCCACTCCAGGGTTACTGTCCATAGGATTACACCACAAGGAGGAGAATCAAACAGCAGACAATTTCATAAACCCAGTTCAACCTATAGCGGTTATAATTAGGGCTTTAATGCGGTCACGAAGTAACAAGGAGTCTAAAGTGATGGATAGAGTGAGGTCGTCTTAACGCATTGGCTTGCTGGGTACTTGCCTGAAAGTCCCACGAGTATATGGGTCCAATGCTAATCTGTGTATGTAGATTAGTAAAGTAAAAGACCCTTGTCCACGCCTTTAGGCCTATAGAGCATATAGGGCTAGTGTAATGATGCTATAAATAGGGATAACGTCAGGGGATGACTGGCATAATTGGGTAAGTCCCTGATAGCATGGGTTTCACGGAGATATGGTGAAAAGACAAAAGTGAATGAGTCACGTGTGAATGCGTGATCTGGGGGATTAAGAATGAGGTGGTCATTCGGTGGCTGGGCCCCAGATTGGAAGGATGTGAAGCTGAATCTGTGTAGGTGAATCCAGAGTGAAGAGTGCACGTGGATCTGAATCAGAGTCGAATGTAAGTTAGTGCTGAACGACAAGACAGGCAGCGCTATTGAATGATCGTTTAGGCCAGCCGTTGTGTTACACGGTTTGTTTGTTGAGCCAGTCGTGTACATGCCAGTGTCCATCGTCTGAAGCATGTCTGGAGACTCAATGCTTGAGCAAGGCGAGATTGCCAGAATGGCGTAAGTTAGTTCATCTGTTGATTCGTGTTTTGTGCTACATTGACAATAAACCTGTGAAATGTGTGAGCTGGTGTCGACCGTCATTTGAAGTGAAGTTGTGTGACCGTGAAGAGAAGTGCCGTCTGGTTAGAATGAACTGTTACCTACCATCTAGACAACAGAGTCAGTGTTGAATCTGCACTAGAAGGATCAAGTGTGGAGGAGACACAGTACATTCATTACAGCTAGACCTATATTTTTACAGACCAATCGGCACATGATGGGTGTTGTGGTCAGCATCACGCCGGCCGCCTTTTCTTTCCAGGACTGCACACGGTACCCACTCAAGGCTGCGTCGACCTGGGAGTCAAGGTCATTATTCGAAATAGGGGGCGAACCCACGACCTTCCGATCCGCACTCGAGAGTCTAGCATCTACGCCACGGTGACTCCCTGTATGTAGATTGGCTTGCCATAAATAAAAGATAAATAATCGTCAATCACAAGTGACAAAGACCACACTTTCTTTCATCTATCATGAAACTAGACTTGTTTGTCTGTGAGTTAAGAGATGATTTATAAATGGCCAGAATGGATCAGGGACGATGAGCTTAGGGAACATCATATGGAGGCAACGGGCCACAAATAGTTGCTGTAATTAGAAGTTCGCAGTAATTTCATTTTGTACCATCTAATTCAGGTTCCTGTTTTAACTCCAGTTTTCTGAAGTGCCAAGAAAGTAAATATCTGTTTATCATTACCGATCATTTACACTTCATTCACGTGAGTGATTATCGTAGGAGCACCAGAACACTGGTTTGCCCAGGGGCCCTTCATGTTGTTAAGAAGGCCCTGGTGAGGGTGGAGAGACGATCTGCTGAGGTTGAGCTATGTAATAAATTAAGTGATGAGCATCCCGGAGACAGACTGCTAGAGCGATAAGTGAGATAGGGCCAAGCCTGACAAGATGTCAGTAAAACAAAGACAAGAGCTAGAGTCGTCACTAGCTATAGGCTGTGAGAGTTGGACTCTCATTGCGGAGACGGAGAGGAGGTTTTAGGCTTTCGGATGTAAATGTTACAGAAACATTTTACAAATTAGTTATTTAGAACACAAAATTAACAAATATGTCAGATACAAAGTAGACAAATTTACAGACATCAGGAGCTTCTCTTGGCAGTAGTGAAACGTCGCAAGAAGGCGTGATTCTTTACGGAGTTAAACATGATTCGATTGCAAAGACTGTACGTCCAGGAGCATTTGGGGGTAGTCGGAGAAGAAGGACCTGGAATGACAACATCAAGAAATGGATAGGAACAAGTTATCATACACTTATTCGTCAATCAGAGGACAGAGAAAGATGGCCGGTTTTGTGTGCCAGCGGTTCCATCGATACATCCACACCACCCTAATAGGTCAACGGTTATGTTATGTTATGTTATGTTATGTTAAAGGCGGTGGAATATAGCAAGCTGAATGATTCCTAGAATTCATAAACTAAGCTGGTTAAGTACTCAAATACAGCTCTAACGATTAAGTAACAGCAAACAGATCACCACACAATTATGTCGTTACCGTGCCAGCAAAAACTACACCGAATGCTCATCGCTTTCCATTGGCTAAGCCAATAACACACACATGCATTAATTGCGTAAGAAAGCTACCATCAGTGCCAACACAAACAGTTCGCAACCCTAATTGCTCCTGATCGTTGATGTATGCAACAATTATAATAAATCAAAAGTTGTGAATAATGTTTATTTTTATTTTTAATTTATGAATTAAATAAATAATGTGACGACTAACTGTCGTTATGTTTCTCCTGTTTCTAGTTTTAACATTGCTGTCATCAAATCGGACATTGGAGAGATTAACGTGAGTATAATTTTTTTAGCCTCTTCTTTCACTTGCTAATTCCACCATAATGTGTCCTTTTTCTTTCATGTAATAATTCCACCATTATGTATGATGGATTCTTATGTAAGAGGATTCTTTCTTTCACGTGTTAATTTCACCATTTTGTGTTCTCTTTTTTTTTATATATTAACTCCACTATTATAGGTCTTATTTCTTTGTTGTATTAATTCCACCATGTTGTATGGTGGATTCCTATGTAAGAGGCTTCTTTCTTTCACGTGTTAATTCCATCATTTTGTGTACTTTTTTCATAGATTAATTCTACTATTATGTGTCCTCTTTCTTTCATGTATTAATTCCACCAATATATATACTAGATTCTTATGTAAGAGGATTATTTCTTTCACGTGTTTATTCCACCATTATGTGTCCTCTTTCTTTTATATATTAATTCCACTATTATGTGTCCTCTTTATTTCATATATTAATTCCACCATTACATATGCTGGATTCTTATGTAAGAGGATTCTTTCTTTCACGTGTTAATTCCACTATTATGTGTCCTTTTTCTTTCACCTAGTAATTCCACCATTATGTGTCCTCTTTCTTTCACTTAGTAATTCCACCATTATGTGTCCTCTTTCTTTCACTTAGTAATTCCACCATTATGTGTTTTCTTTCTTTCACCTAGTAATTCCACCATTATGTGTCCTCTTTCTTTCACCTAGTAATTCCACCATTATGTGTCCTCTTTCTTTCACCTAGTAATTCCACCATTATGTGTCCTCTTTCTTTCACCTAGTAATTCCACCATTATGTGTCCTCTTTCTTTCACCTAGTAATTCTACTATTATGTGTCCTCTTTCTTTCACCTAGTAATTCCACCATTATGTGTCCTCTTTCTTTCACCTAGTAATTCCACCATTATGTGTCCTCTTTCTTTCACCTAGTAATTCCACTATTATGTGTCCTCTTTCTTTCACCTAGTAATTCTACTATTATGTGTCCTCTTTCTTTCACCTAGTAATTCTACCATTATGTGTCCTCTTACTTTCAATAGTATCCGTTATGCATTTGAATATATTACGTGTCAGATGTACGAGCTAAGCTGAGTGAGTGATCAGAAGAGGTAAAATCAAGAATAACCTCATTTAGCAAAATGTTGGCATAGAACCAGTACTGCATTACGCACAAAAAACTGAAAATAAAACGGTCTGTCCTCAAAGAAAGAATACTTTGTAATGCTACACCATACAAACATGAGTGAACAGAAGTGAGGTACACGGATCCAGAGTAAACCAGAAACAAAGAGGAAATATTTATCTACTGCAATACCTCGGTTGTCGTCACCGGTTCTCGTCAGATCACCGAAGTTAAGCGCCGTTGGGCATGGTTAGTACTTGGATGGGAATCCGTTTGAGAACACCATGTGTTGTAGAGAGACGCGTTAGCGCAGTTGATTGGGAGCTCACTTTCAAATCCACCTGCGACTCGCTGCAGCCACGAACAATATTCGAAACCGCGCGGTTTCCGGGTTTCACCATGCCTCAAGGAAATGGGTACCAGCGTTGACAATCTGGGGTGAATGGAGGACCGTGGCTGTAGCTACGGAGTTACTTGTGGACAGTTTCTTATCAGTTGTCTGTACTGGTGGCAGAGCACTTATGGTTTATAACCGTGTGCAATGACGCTGGTTCACATCTCCCGACTTTACATTTTACCTTTTACAAAGTGGAAAGATAGCAACATAAAAACTACAACAGTGTTAAGTGGATTTAACAGAGGCGGCCAGGGGAGCAATAACCACAATCTTTAGAAAGAGGGAAAACAGGAGACAGGAGCAGAAGTATCACAGAACCTGTTTACAGTTGCACATAGAGCATCTTCAGTTGTTTGTAACATGTTTTTCTGTAATTCAGTTTCAAGAATTTTATGTTGTAAATGACATTCTTATCAAAATGCGAATATTTGTTTCAATATTCATATATACAGGAAGCAGATTTGAACAAGCTCATCCGTGAAGCCATTGATGAGGTGGTTATCCCTGGATTAAACGGTGAGCATCAGTGTCGTCTGCTAGCTTTATAAAACAGTCTACCAGTGTTTCAATCAACCAGTCAAATCAATTGAGTGATCAGTCAGATGCCATTTCCACAAGGAATGTTGGCTGTAATTGACCTCCAGTCACTCTGTCTTCGGGCTACGATTGGATAATCTTTGAGGCTGGAGCTTCTTCCACCTCTTGACATTATCCTCTCGTTTGTATCGCTGCCTACCTCTTGCTAGCTTGCCGTCAAATTGTTCTTTCCGACTGTTTTATTTACATTATTCTATTCCTGTCAACTGTTTTATTTACATTAGTCTATTTTTTCCGACTGTTTTTTTTTTTACATTATTCTATTCCTCTCAACTGTTTTATTTACATTATTCTATTTCTTCCAACTGTTTTATGTACATTATTCTATTCCTTCCAACTGTTTTATGTACATTATTCTATTCCTTCCGTTTTATTTACATTATTCGGTTCCTTCCAACTGTTATATTTTCAATATTCTCCTCCTTCCGACTGTTTTATTTACATTATTCTATTCCTGTCAACTGTTTTATTTACATTATTCTCCTCCTTCCAACTGTTTTATTTACATTATTCTATTCCTGTCAACTGTTTTATTTACATTATTCTATTCCTTCCAACTGTTTTATTTACATTATTCTATTCCTTCCAACTGTTTTATGTACATTATTCTATTCCTTCCAACTGTTTTATGTACATTATTCTATTCCTTCCAACTGTTTTATTTACATTATTCTATTCCTTCCAACTGTTTTATTTACATTATTCTATTCCTTCCAACTGTTTTATTTACATTATTCTATTCCTTCCAGCTGTTTTATGTACATTATTCTATTCCTTCCAACTGTTTTATGTACATTATTCTATTCCTTCCAACTGTTTTATTTACATTATTCTATTCCTTCCAACTGTTTTATTTACATTATTCTATTCCTTCCAACTGTTTTATTTACATTATTCTATTCCTTACAGCTGTTTTATGTACATTATTCTATTCCTTCCAACTGTTTTATTTACATTATTCTATTCCTTCCAACTGTTTTATGTACATTATTCTATTCCTTCCAACTGTTTTATGTACATTATTCTATTCCTTCCGTTTTATTTACATTATTCGGTTCCTTCCAACTGTTATATTTTCAATATTCTCCTCCTTCCGACTGTTTTATTTACATTATTCTATTCCTGTCAACTGTTTTATTTACATTATTCTATTCCTTCCAACTGTTTTATTTACATTATTCTATTCCTTCCAACTGTTTTTTTTACATTATTCTATTCCCTCCAACTGTTTTATTTAAATTGTTCTATTCATTCCAACTGTTTTATTTACAAAATTATATTCCCTCCAACTGTTTTACTTACATTATTCCATTCCTTCCAACTGTTTTATTTACATTATTATGTTCCTTCTAACTACTTTTTTTTTTTACATTTTTCTCTAACATTGTTAGCGTCTGCGGCTTAGGCATTACAAACACACTTCCTATTGCCGGGTTCGATCCCAGCAGCAAGCGTTTGGCAGCAGGCCGCTCTGCTTTGGTTTCGACAGTGGTTTCGAGAGACTACCGTCCACGTAGCAACGGCAAACCACTATTTTGCGTAGAAAACCCTCAACAGCTAAAACATTATGGGGTTGGTTTGGCTACGTCCTGTAAATGGGACATGTCAATTTGAGGCTCCCTTGATGGGTCCAACTTTGCCATCATGAGGGCCACAATTGACAAATAACTTCTTCTTCTTCTTCTTTATTTCCTTTTTTATCACTAAGGGTGTCGAGAGAGATATAAGGTCCCGATTCGATGACTTCTCGCTGCTGATCAGTCCCTTTATATCTCATTGTACTTGTTGTAGTGGTTTTCTTGTGTGATTCCAGTACTAACCTATGGATGCGAGAGCTGGAAATCAACGAAAACTCTAGACACAAAATTAGACAGTTTTGAAAATAAAAGCCTTAGAAGAATACTAAATTTCAAATGGTCAGATTTCCGAACCAATACACAAATAAGGCAAGAATCCAGGCAAGAGTATGTGTCTAATTTTATTCGAAAATGCCGCTAGAATTATGTCGGCCACTCCCTTAGAATGGATAAATCAAGACTTCCTTACCAAGCCCTCATTTGGACACCACAGGGGAAAAGATCTCGTGGAAGACCAAGGGAAACTTTACGTAGAACTATCATCAGGGAAGGCTCGCTCATGGGCCACTCAAACATCCAAGACCTACAACAGATTGCAACGAACCGCCATGCATGGAGAGTCATGACCTCTGCCCTATGTGCCGCACCCGACACAAGAGGAAAGACTAACTAACTAGTGGTTTTAAATCCCTTGTCGGTTAGCTAGGCTTGTCGCAAGCTCACCAGATCCCCGTTGGCCAGGACGTTTCGGGGTGACCCAGGATAGTCTTCATGGCAACCGTAGCGGTAACTGACGTCATTTAATAACAATTATTGCCTGCTATTTTTTTTTTACGAATGTTTTTATAAGTGTTTGACATGCCTGCAGTAAAGACAAGGCCACTAACTCTAATGTGGTTTACTTTTGTTTTTCAATCCTCACAGAATATTGTAAACAAGGCATTCCACTACCAGTCACTGGTATCTTCCGTCTCTACAACGCAAAACTGAACTTGCAGCCAGTAAGTTGTGATGTTGTTTACTTTCTGTCTTGTTTCATATCTAGTACATGCGACTTCCGGGTCAAGGTATCTGTACTGTGTTCATGTACAACAGACTGCTGGTTCACACTCGACTTTGATCAAGTTTAAAAAAAAAGAACTCTTTCCCACGTAATCAGGTGTTTTGGGTATTTAGTATAGACCTAAATTTTATAGAGAAATCGGAACTCGGTGGTGATATGGTCAACAACATATCGGCCACCTTTACTACCCAAAATCAACTGGTACCTATTTTGGCTGTGTCGACCTAGGAGGCAATGTAATTTTGATGGGGAAAATCCGACTCGAGTGTGGATTTGAACCCTTCGGGACGGAGGCGAACGTCTACTCGCTACACCATCACGACTCCTACATGACGTAGTGTGGTCATCATCAGCATCAACATCATGTACGCGGCAAAATGAGTGTAGTCTGCCGTATTTTGAATGTTGTATTTAGAATCGACATCACAGAACTCAAGACATACACATGAGCTCTCGACCCCCACCTTCAGCCGCAATTCCGATGGTGGAGGAATCAGTCTGAGTGTAATGCTAAATGTTGAATGTTAAATTAAGAATCGACATCACAGCAGTCGTGACAACCCCATAAGCGTCCCTCTGTCCCTATCTTCAGCAGCAAACGAAGAGTTCCAATTCTGATGGCTTAACGACTCCGTGTGCATATTCGTAGTCTCTCCCCCCCCCCCCCCCCTTTTTTTTCCCATTTTCTTATTTTCTGTACTTCTCTAATGCTTCTCAGTGTCGCATCACTTTTGTTTTAGCCGGTTCGTGAGATCTATTCATTTTCTGAGACAGATCCCGAGAACGGAAGAACGCAGTCACTAAACAGGCACGGAGATGAGAAATAAAGGGACTGAGGAATCGAGGGCGTCCAAGGGAAACACTAAGGCGAACGTTGATGAGAGATGCCAATGGTGCTGGGCTGGACTCCATCCATGATATTGCAATGATATGCCCAGGATAGAATGAAATGGGGCAGTAGACCACAGGGCCAATATGACACATAACGGCACAACATGACAATGAATGAATGAGTGAATGAGTGAATGAATGAATGAATGCATGGACAAAAATCGCGGGCAATCAGTCGATTAACGGAAACTTGTGTGAACATTACTGACATGGGATTTTAAAGAAAAGTGACTAGACCCCCAAGCGCTTTGAAGTTTTTTGCAAAGTATTCTGACTACCGGCATCAGAAGAAGACAGACAACAATCTTTGGTCACGTCATGTGAAGAGGGAAACCGGCGTAAGTCGTGACAGTGGAAAGCTGAAGAGGAACAGAGGCGGAAGGACAGCAAGAGTACACATGCCGGACAGTTTTGCATCACGGCAAGGAAAAACATTTTTACCAGGGTTGACTTCAGCTTGCATTTGAATTTCCTGTGTCTCACATGCATATAACAACGGGACTTTTTTTTTTTTTTTTAGATTGTGGTTAAACAATTCTTTTGATAAGCATGCAGAGAATTTATGGGGTGACAGAAAAAGAAACGAGACAGCACTCCTGGAGGCAGATGAAAACGATAAATTCATTCAAGAAATTTGACGTTGAAAACCGTCTTTACTGACATGTCTTTTCGGAAATGTCTCTTCGGACATGTCTCTTCAGACATGTCTCTTCGGACATGTCTCTTCGGACATGTTATGGACACGGAAACTTGGTACTGACTGGTAACGACACAACAAAGACAGCTACAGAATTACGTAATTGCCAAGAACGCACGGCAGGGACTGTGACAAGAAATATTTTTTGTGAATGAAAATGATATTTAACTTGTCATACTGCTACTACAGTTTTGGGCCACAATGTCTTCGCTATATAGCAGAAATACCCATTCATTATTACCAACATTTCTGTAATTGTAGGCTGTAGCAGCCGCCCCCGCACTGTACTGCAGATTACTTCAGAACCTGTAGAGCGCCCTAATCTAATTGTGTTGTAGAAATGAACGAGATTTCTTGGATTTACTTCTACTGTATTATCATCCTCGAGGTGGTAATCGTACGAACATCAATCTTGGAGAAGTAATACACACACCAATACTACCGTTTCTGAATCACAATTGTCTGCTCCCCCAAATCTAACCTTTTTTCTGTGTACATGTTTGCCTTTCATCTGTTTCTCTATCTCATCAATCAACAGTCCATTCCAGCATATTTCTTCATTCTTTTTCAAAATTATAATTACAGGGCTACCTGCAAATAGCAACGGATGTAGAATATTTGAAGTAATCTACTGCCCGCTGTCCGTGAGTCAACATGAAATATCCATTAGGTGAACCTACTGGAAAAGTTCAACATTCCGTTTAAGCAGTTGTAAAAGCTATGTCATATGTTACTGTTGTATGAATTATGTTGACAATCGCATCTTCAGAATATTCTGTTATTAACCATATTTAAAGGATTGGTAAAATCAATAAAGTATATACGCATACCCAAATGTTCTTGTCGAATACATATGTGTTTATCTTCTGTGCAATATTGTATATTTTTGGCTTTGTGAGCATCTATCTTTATGTAAGTATTGGGCAACCGTGTGTTTCAAGAGTCTATACTATTCACAGAAGTTCTTTGTATTTGTTTCTACCACTAACTACTCGTCAAAAGTCAAGGACTGCTTAGAAAACCCACGCTTGTAACAACAAAACGAACGTGATATGAAGGTAATTATTACAGGATGCTGAGAAAGGTGGGGAAGGTATGCCCCGTGCAGAATGGCAGACATCGTTTAAGTGATTGGTCGGCAAACTCAATAGTTGAAAGAGCCACAGATCAACAGCAGGGCGACAAAACAATTTTTGAGAGCCAAATTTCTTTTTAAGTGAAGATTATCACCACAGCACTCCGGACACACCAATAGGTGCTCCGATCTCCTCCTGAAAAGCTCCACAAGTGTGACAGAATCTGTCAAGAGCCATGTTTTTCTGAGTCGGTTTATAACTAGCTACTAAACATTATTATTGACTCGCAAAAAAAAATTCAAAACACGCATTAAACATTAATTTCAACCAAAAATAATAATTAAAAAATCTCATTGACAAAAAATACACAACGCGCATTTAATGTTCACTATGACATTGCATTTCCTTGAAAAGTTTAGATAAGTCTGGTTTTTATGTCGTTGTTTTTTATTTCAAGCAGGATTCCAGATTCTTATCAGTAAGACGATTTCTAGGAAGAACAATGGAAGTAGTAGGGGACATTAAAAACTATAGAATTAGTATTTTAGGGTTATCTGAAACTAGATGGACTAGGGCAAGGAAAAGTATTCTAAATTCAGGGGAAACTATTTTGTTCTCAGGACACACAGAGGACAATTCTCCCGACAGTGAAAGAGTGGCCCTGATGCTATCAAAAGAAGCAGACAGGGCACTAATAGAATGGGAAGCTGTCAGTTCCAGAAGAAAGAGCGTCATTTAGAACAGCAAAACAGAAGGTGAACATGTCGGTAATACAGTGTTTTGCACCAACACATGATTAAGATGCATCAGTTAAGGAAGAATTTTACATGCAGCCTCAGAATATTAAAAATAATGAAAGAAGTGGCAATATAAAAATTTTGATGGGTGACCTGAATGCTAAGATAGGATCAGATTACGCAGATTATGAAGAGATTATGGGAAGACATGGTCTAAGAGTAATGAATGAAAATGGAGAATTGTTAACAAATTTTTGTGCAGGTAACCAGTATGTTATTGGTGGAAGTATTCCCCCCCCCCCCCCCCCCCCCCCCCCCCCCATAAAAGAATACACAAGGCAACATGGGAATCACCACACCATAAGACCACCAATCAAATTGATCATCTATGTATTAACAACAAGTTTACATCATCCCTTTACGATGTTAGGCTTTCAGAGGTGCCGATGTATTTACTGACCATTTTCTGTTGGTAAGTAAAATTAAGTTGAAACTTAAAAGATACATAACATCTTACAATCATAGAAACCAGTATAATGAAAGTTATCTCAGGAATAAAGACGTTTTGGAAAAAATTTCAGTAACAACATCTAATAAGTACCAGGTGTTGCAGCAGTTAGCTGAAGATGTAAGCACTGAAGTTTGCTGTTATAAGATCAATGAAATCTGGAATGAATCATGTGTAAAAGTTCCTGGTAAGAAAGAACGGAAAGATAAAACTTGGATAACACCAGAAACCATTAAACTGATGGAAGAAAGAAAAACTTAAAACACAGACTCAAACAATAGCAAAACTAGAGCTGCTAAAGCTAGAGCTTAGGATAAATACACAGAAGCCAATTAGGAAGTTAGGAGGCTTATAAGGGCAGATAAAGTGAAATATCTAAATGATCTAGCACAAGAAGCAGAGACAGCAGCAGCAAAAAGAAACCTTAGAGAACTTTACAGCAACACAAGAAAATTAGTAGGTAAATATAGTCAGCCCACTGGATCAATCAAAAATAGTCAAGGAAGGTACTTACTAACACTTAAGATCAAATGGACAGATGGGCTAAAGAGGAAATTAGAAAAGCTATCAATCTTTTCAAGGAGGAAAAAGCGGCAAGTCCAGATGGTATCCCAGCAGAAGCTATTAGGGCCAACATGAACACACTAACGGAATTGCTACATAGATTATTTAGTAAAGTCTGAGAGACCGAAGAAATACCTGCAGACCGAAAAGAAGGATATTTTGTGAAACTGCCCCAAAAAAGTGATCTACAGGAGTGTGAAAACTATGGAGGAAATTTGTTTCTGTCAGTTCTTGAGAAAATATTAAGTAGAAATATTTTGGAAAGATTAAAAGATGCTTTTAAAAAAAAGCTAAGAGATGAACATGCAGGGTTTCGGCCAAACAGGTCCTGTACTGACCAAATAGCCACATTACATATAATAATAGAGCAAAGCATTGAACTGCACTCACCAATTTACCATGGAGCTAGAAAATGAAGTTATAAAGATAAAGAGGACATGAGGAGAGATGCATGCGATTGCAAAATATAGAACAACCTGGCGTGAGTTGGTTGAGGGCCTATGCTTCTTTGGGAACTAGAAAGGCAGAAGAAGAAGGTTTTTTAGTTTACTCTTGATGAGATTCATTCTTGAAAATGTTTGTTCGCATGCATACGTAGAGCCAAGGAGTAAAAGAATAGCAAATGCTATGTTTCTTACTTTTTCTTTTTCAAACCGATCGTAAAAGTCCAGAATTCTCCTTTAGGTGTTGAAAATTATCATGTCTTCCTTCTGCAGGTCTTTCAAAGCAGACCACTTAATCAATAAACTGAGATGACATTTGTTTTTCTCTCAGTTTTCTAGCTCTCAGTTAAGGCGTCCAAATTTCGAACACCATAATTTTTTTTTTTAACTCCAGCAACTGCATTTTAGATATGTATGCCAGCGTTATCCAGGCATTTCTCTTTTACAGCATCACTCTTCTTTACTTCTACAGTGGTTACCAGAAGAGTTAAAATCTGAAATAAAGCTATAATAAAAAAGACTGCCGAAAACTACACACAAAAGCACTATCTGAAATATGTTTTGATCTTAGAATGTCGTGTAATGTCATCGGATTTAAGACACATCTATCAAAAAGAGACAGGGAGGTACACCAAAAGCAATACTGTTTTATAACATCAGATATTTTCTACAAAGAACAACGTGTCTATTGTCGGGGCAACATAACAGAGAGAAACAGTACTTCATATTTCCTCGACATCCTAAGCGACAAAAGAGAAAGTCAAGTAAACAGCTGATGATTTGCATCGTGTCTTATGTATTCTTTCAGATGGAAAAGATACTACCATAAATACTGTTTTAACACAACGACAATGGTTAATCAACAGTACCTTTGTTGTCTTTAATAAGCACTGTTATAGAAAGGCAGTATTTTGTTTTGTCATCTTCACTGTCGATGCTGCAGGGGATTAACTCTTCCAGTGTTATGAATTCCTCAGCAGATGCCAAAGCGAAGAAATAACCATGGCAAAAAAAAAAAAAAACAGAACGAATTACTTTCCAAGTGGCAATACGTCCATGTGGTAATTAGTTACATTGGAGAAGCCAGATTTATTTAGTTTGTTCTGACTAAAATTTAAATTTAAGAGATCACAATTTGGATGTGGAGGCAAATAAACGGGTTGTGTCATTTACACAAAGTGGGTTGCGTGGGGCTAAAGGAGATATACAACCACTGCTCTCCTTGGGAATATTATATGGTATTATATGCTGTTTCTGCTCCAGACTTAGTTACAAGAAATGGCTCAGTGAAAGTGAGTTTGTGACATGTCCATAATAAATCATCATATGGTTTTAAAAATTGCTGCCAAATCTTCAGAATATAAACAGGCTATTTGAAATAGTTATGTAGAATTGTTTCTAAAGTAAATCCTCATTTTGTACCGGTTGACGTAGAATCATAAATAGCAGTTGCTTTTCTGCCAGCCCTTTAGCCTTAGTCTTGAATCTTCATCTACGAGCATATATTTTTTATTTGATCTATGTTTGCCATGTCGCCAGAGCCTAATATATTTATCTGGGACTAACGTTGGGAAGCTTTTTTGCCAATGGGCGTGACATTGAAAGCATCACCCACCTTGCGTTGCATGAAATAGGAGTCCAATGCACAGCTGCGTGAAACGGATAATTTACTTAGCAACTCACATGGCGTTGCTAGCAGTTAAACGCAGTTATCAGAATCTACATTACTCAAATCCTACGCAGAAAGAAAGTTGGCAGTAAGCGAAAACTGTACCCAGTTTTCATTTACAACAGCGAGCAAAGTGCGTAGGTTTATGTTTCTTAGACCTTCAAGACTTGACAATTTTATGTTGTGTTTATACCCTCCTGTTCGATAAGAGCTGTTTATTATCGAATTTATGGCTGTATTTAATTCAGACGTAGAAAATTGGTAGGAAGTAAATTCTCTCTATCGTGTATTTAAGGCAATCCCATATACGCTTGAAAGCATGTATTTACTCAAATGTTTCAGTGCGTGCATCCTATCAAGGCTGTTTTTGCTAAGGTACAGTATGTTTCCTACGACTTAACTTTCCACATCATTGGCAATCAATGCTAGTTTCAGGCAGCCAAGGAAGAGCAGCGGCTAGCTGGCTTGTCTTTTGGCCCGGTGGTCATGTTCAAATCCACATCGAGGCGGACTTTCAAAATTGATTTTGTCTTCAGGTAGATGTACTGTAAAATAGGCGCGGACAATCGTCTTCTTTAACTTCTCCTTAGGGCTTACTGTGGCTAAAAGTTGTGCGTGTTAGTTCACTCT